AAAGCCTAAAAATAAAAATAAAGAAGACAAAAATGTTGCCGGTGGCCGGAGCGGGGCGAGCGAGAGAGGGGGGCGCCTTCCTCCGGACCCCCCAACCCCGTCCCCCGATGAGCGCCCCGGAGGCGGCAGAGCTGAAGCTGGAGGCGGTGATTCAGGTCGGGAGGGGGCGCCGGGAGGGGATTGGGCGGCAGCGGCTTCGAGGTTTCTCTCGTGATTAGCAAAGCAACCCGAGATATCACTCTCCCCCCCCACACACACACACATACACGTGTGTGTGTGTTGAGGAGATGGGATGGATGAATGGCTCTTTTGGGAACGCCATTGAGATGTTTGCCAGCAACCCTCTGGCCCTGGAGCCAAGGGGCCCCAAGTTGCCCTCCCGCCCGTCCCAGAACAGCCTTCGGTACACCCCGCCCCCGCCACCACCCCCCGTGCTATAACCTGGCTGCAGCCAGGTCTCCTTTGATGGGATTCCTGGGCATTAAGGGCTCTCTATACAGTATGTCTGTCCTTTTATGCAGAAGATCCAGAGCCTCCAAGGCACAGGTGGGTCTGATTTGAAGGTCCGGTACAGGCGAGAGAGACGGGTTGGGGGGGGTCATTCCCCCACCCCCACCCCTTGTAAGTCTCTCAACTGGGGACTCCCAAGTGCAAAGCGAGAGAGAGAGAGAGAGAAGGTTCCGGTTGCAGTTTAAACCTGGGCTTCATCTTGAACCTTGTTTGGCTCAGTGGAGACTCAATCTGGCTGGTGTCGAGAGGAGACTTTCCTTCCCTAAGCTCCAGGACTGAAGTGCCGAGCACATGGGAATTAGATATATATATATATTGTGCATGTGTCTGTTTTTTAATGGGCCGGTGGAACTTTTTTATTTTCATAGTTTGTTCAAAAAAGAAAAAAAAATAAGCCCCTCTTCCCTTCCTGAACCAGCTGGTGTAACTGCTCCCCCCGTCCCGGTTTCCCCCGGGCCCAGCCTCTGAATTTCAGTGGGTGAATTCTGAAAGGTCCTTTGGAGAACCACGGTCCCAGAGGAAGCTGTTAAATGCCTGGTCACACTCTCGGACTTTGTCTTCCAGCCTGAAGCAGCCTGTTATTTTTGTGTTGCAGAAACTCGAGAGCAGCGTTCTGGTCTCCGCTGAAGGGAAAAACTTTTCTGTCCGGGGCACATCTGAGGAATCCTCCCCCACCCGCTTGCCGGCACGGATCCGGGAGATCATCACTAAGAATCTTTCGGAGAGTGATCACCAAGGTACCGTTTGAGATAAGAACTTGTCTTGGTGGCCTCTTGGTGACGTGGGGAAATGGAAGCCAGAAGCCAGTGTGGCCCGATCTCCTGCAAGTTCCCTGGATCTTCCTGGTAAGAAGAGCCAGATCCTGCTGAGATCCCTGTGCCCTTGGCTTGGCCTGACTTTTTAGGCGCAGGGCCTGGCAGGAAGGACCTCGCTCTCTACCTGCTCCCAGGAGGAGAGACAGGGACTCCATGGGTTGTGCCTTTCCTGCTCTATGTTGTTTTGCTTCTTCACACCCTTCAGGGATCTGAAACCCAACACGTTGTTTCCCGTTCATTAAACTGCAGGTTCCTTCCTTTGTTCCCCCAGCCTTTGCCAGAATAAGAGGCTCAGGCTGTGCCAAGGTGGCCTCGGGGCTTCTTTACCCAGCCAGCATCTTGCTGCTGGTTCTCCTGAAATTCTTCTGCTAATTGGAGCCTGGGAAGTGAACAGGTTTTTGGGCAGATGGACGAGGACAGAGAGGAAGAAAGAGAAGGCAGGGGGGTAGGAAGCAACACACGTCCCGTCCCGTTCCCCCCCACCCACCCCAGTTTAGGTATGCTGGCACCTTTCGAGTGCTGTGTAAATTGATGCATGCATTTTTTTTTCGGAGAACTGATATGTCCTTATGAAGAATTTTGCTACTGGGTCAATCCGAATTCAGTCCACCAAGCCAATATTGTGCTCCCCAAAAAGAGTGTAGCCTATCTCGTTTTGCAAGCCTACAACTATCTCACCCAAATCTTTTGACAAGGTATTGTATGCATTCAGAATGCATAATTACCAGTTCCAAGACAAAGTTTCTGGATAAAAAAAACATCATTTCATGGAACAGATATTCCAGCACATTTTCCATGCTTACCCCGGTTGATGAATATTCACATGCAGGAAGAAGAGGTGAATGCTTCAAAATTCCTTCTGGAAGATGAGTCCTCTGTCTGCCCTCACCACATGCTTGCCAGTGTTCACAGATTAGCTTTCTGTCTATGTACCTTATAGCTTAAGCCACCACCTGCAAAAGCACAATTGTGATTGCCTTGGCATCCCACCATGTCTGTTCACGAGTTTATCTCTAGCAGGAGAATTAGAAAGAAAGAAAAATATTCAAGCCAACATGGCCTATACTTGTGACCTGTCTCATTAGACCTAACCAAGTGGGCCAGGAAGTCACTTGGCCAGCCTGCCTGGTCCTGCCTGCCTAGCAAGAAGCAGAGGCCCTCCTTCCTGGGCTTTTCAGACCATGCTGAAGCGTCCCTGGCTGAACCTCTGTTTTCCCTCCCTGCAGCCGCCAGCCACGGCACCATGACCTCCTTGCTTTCCCTTCAAGAGGAAAACCACATCCTGCAACAGGAGCTCTCCCGAGTGGAAGACCTCCTAGCCCAGAGCCGTGCTGAACGCGATGAGCTGGCCATCAAATACAACGCCATTAGCGAACGGGTAAGTGGGACGTGGCCGGAAGACGGGGATCAGGGAGGGGCTCCTGCTGCTTGGAGGATCCATCCCACCTTAGAATCCATCTACCCAAGTCAAGCAGGATCGTGTCATCTCTATTTGGTCCCAGGAAAGCGTGCTCGTGCTCTCCGGAGCAGGTTGCAGGGTATGTACATTGAGCAAGCGAGGGGGTGAGGAGGAAAAGGTGCGAGGAGTAAGCCATGCGCCTGAGGGGGCAGCCGGTGGTGGTGATCTTGCCCCACGCTTTCTGCAGATCTTTCCCAGATGCTGATTGTAAAACAGTTTCTTGTCCCCCCTTTACTGGAGGACGTGCACAGTTAACTCTAGAAGGGGCCCTTCTCGGAGGACTGCACGACCATGCTCTGCCTGATGGCAAGGCAGAAGTCCACTCCTGTTGCGCTGAGTGGAGGCAATTGTCCTGCTGTCTTGAGTCTCACTGCTGAGTGAATGGATAGGCGTCCCTCCGTCCTGCTTCCCAGCAGCAGGAAGGAAAGGAAATTTTGTTCCTACCCTAGTGGAAGGGATCGGGGGGGGGGCTGTTTGCAGAGGGTGGACATGAGCATTCTGGGCTGTTTATTTTC